AGGTAAACAAATACTGAGCTGGAGACCAGACACAGACAGACAGAGAAACCAACACAGAGGCCAAACTGACGCGCAGAGATGAGACCAAGATAGACAAAAGAGAACTAACTAAATCAAACAAGGAACTTAGAACTAGGAATATAAATACAAAAACTCAGGTACTAGGGAAATTGAGCACAATACCTGATTCACAAGAGCTTGAAAATCAGTTCGTTTTTACAACTCCAAGAGTATGAATCCCGAGTCCATAACATAACTTCAGAGTTCAAACTCTGGGACTAGTTTCTACCACTTGACAAACAGCATAGCGGGAGATCACAGCATCATGAAAAAATATTACTCAGTTTATAAAAAAAATTTCCGCACAAATTATTCTGCAATCCCAAATCCCCCCCTCCCCAAAAAAACGTTGGGGTGCTGTGTAAATAAAAACAGAATGCAATGATTTACAAATCTAATAAAGTTATGTTTTATTGACAAATGAACATAAAAAACAAATGTTATCAACAAAAAATGATGGGTGCTAATAAACGCTGGAAAAGTAGGGAGGGCGAAAAGGAAACAGCTGGAGGAATATTTTGCGACTAATTATCTTAACTATAAAATGAGCATCTTGGAGAGGCAAAGTTCCTTAGACGTAAAGTCAGGCAGAGGTTCACCAATCTGCAAAAAAACTGCATCTGCAAATTGTGGAAATAAAATTTCTGAACATAAAATTATGAAGACCATCAGTATAATATATATTATCATCAAAAGAGTTTGATAATCTAGAGAAATTTCTGTGCTCAAGGGACAAGGCCAAAAATCAATATTGGAAGTCTCTGATCTTCCACAAACAGACATTGTGCATGGGATCACAAATCCAGGGTAAAGCTCTGTCATGCAAAGAAATCACATGTGCCATCTTCTCTGAGTCAAAGTGGAACACTGTTCTGTTGTCACATCTGGAAAGACACCATCAATGCCAAAAGGTATATACAGGTTCTAGAGCAGTATATGCTCCAATCTATTTGACATCCTTTCCAGGGAAGACCTTGCATATTTCAGCAAGACAATGCTAAACGGCATATTGCATCAATTCCAACAGCAAGTTTAGAAGAGTTCAGCTGTTGAACTAGTCTCCTTGCAGTCGAGACGTTTTATCAACTGAAAACATTTGGAGCATTATGACATGAAGAATATGACAAAGAAAACCCAGGACTGCTGAGCAGTTAGAATTCTAAACTCCAAAATTCCTCCCCAAGAAATCCAGCAGCTGGTTTTCCTTTTCCCGGAATTGGACTGTTTTTAAAAGGAGAGGGGATGCTGATGTGTGTTGCTGCCATTAAATTCAGAATAATCAGATTTTTTTTTCTTATAATGGTACACTTTGTCAGTTTAAATATTTTCAATGTTTTCTATGTTCCATTGTGAATAAAATTTGGCTTTATGGGATCATTCTGGGGTTTTTCTCCATTTTCCACAATGACAGAAACACAGTTTGAACTCAGGATAACAAATATTCAAGTATGTATCCTATCAGGTGCAGTTTGGGGGCA